CATCAGTTTGGTCCCTGTAGGTGGGGTTTACACCCTACTGATAATGGTTTCTATAGTGAGCCAGATGCCAGGTCAAAACTGCTCAGTGACATCCAAAGTTAGGCCTCCATCATGAATCTGGGGGTCCGCCCATCTTGTCACATGTATACCCTTATTCCCTCCTCTTCCAATAGCATATGTTCCCCTAGATCACCCCCCTCCCATTACTGTATTACCTACAGCATAACCCTTTCCTGTGATGTATGTCTTCAGCTGTAATTAGGGGGCTTGCACATTCCCAGAGCAAAAAAAAGGATTGGTTAGCAATAAGTCTCTCTCTCTCTTTCTCTCTCTCTCTCTCTCTTTCTTCACATGGACCACCAAGCAGGGCTGAGGTGAGCACGCTGCCATGAAATGTGTCTGACTCCATTATTTCAATCTCTCATGCTCTCTATGATGTTACTATAATCTTTACTTATGATCGCTGTACAATTGTACCTACCGGACCCATGATGAAGTGTGAGGGGCTGGTTTCCCTGACATATGGCGCCTATCGCGTGACAGTAGGAAAAGAACGCTTTTAAGTTAATCCTGTGTAACAATTGTACGGCCTCATCAGACAGAGAGGGTGAATCGGGAAAATTTTTATTTTTTATTTTATTTTTTTGAGTGTGTTTTAAGTCTGAGTGAGATATGGGTCAGGCAAAGAGCAAGGATACAGAGTATGGTATCACACTTTGCCACCTCTTAAAGAAACAAAATGTAGCGGTAACAAATAAGAGAATGAAAGAGTTTCTTTAAGTGGTAAAAAAATGTAATCCTTCTTTTCCAGAGTCAAGAACCTTTGATATGGAGATCTGGGACAAGGTAGCTATTAATTTAAGAAAAGCCCACAGGGAAGACAAAGCATACTCATGGAGACATGGGCACTGTGAGTGCAGATTGAAACAGTGTTGGAGCCTCTGCAGGTTGAGAGCAAAGGAACAAGACCAGCAGAGTAGTGAGAAGATTGTAGGCAGAGCTGAGAGAACGAAGTCTGAATCAGAAAGAGATATCAGACTAGAAGCATCTGCTCCTCCACCACCAGATTATAGCATAGGGAATCCCAATACTATCAAGCAAGTCAGTGCTGGAGGGAGAAAAGAGATTAGATCCAAAGGGATGCAAATGGAGAGATTTAACATAGAAGGTGAGGCTCAGGAAGTGAGAAGCAAAGAGGCAAGGAGTAGGAAGGCACCTTTGCTCTCACAGGTGGAGAAGACTATAGCTCAAGAAGTAGACTTAGAAGTCAGAATGGCTTATCCCGTTAGAATTATAGACAGGGAGCCTGATGAACAGCACTCAGAAGGGAATCAAGAACGGCGATATACCGCCTTTCCCTTTAAGCTACTGAAAGATCTCAAACAAGCAGTATCTAGTTATGGTCCAGATTCACCATTTTTAATTAGTATGGTAAAATCTCCAACGAACATGGAATATTGGATCCCGGCCGACTGGAAAGTGTTGACGAAAGTGTGTCTTTCCCCTTCAGAATCTTTGCAATATCAAATGCTATGGAACAAAACAGCCCTTGCTCAAGCACACACGAATGCAAAAGAGGGCATAGATATAGGGGTTCATCAGCTGCTAGTAGATGAGAATTACATTACAATTGAGGCACAATTAAACTTTGATGAGCAGACTTTCACACAAGTACAAGAAGTCTACCTAAAGGCTTGGGAAAAAATAATGCCATCAGGAAGCAGATGGCCAAGTTACATAGCAGTGAAGCAAAGGAATGATGAGCCTTATATAGATTTTATATCCAGGTTGCAGGATGCTGTCCACAAGAATGTGGCGGACAAAGGGGCATTGGATAATCTTAATCTTACTTTAGTATTTGAGAACTCGAATACATCATATCAAGCTGCCGTACGCCCTTTCAAGGAACAGAGCACGCTGTTAGATTATATGTTCGATTATATCAGGCTATGCAGGGATGTGGGGACAGATGAGCACAGGGCCAACCTCATGGCTGCTGCTTTGGCAAGTGACACCAGACCTAAAGGGAGATGCTTTACATGTGGGGCAGAGGGACATTATCAGAAACTGCAGGCAGATATTACAAAAGAATAGGACAATTCACAGCAGAAAAGACCCAGGGAAAGAGTCCAAGGAAACTGGACTTTGTCCCTGCTGCAATAGAAGTAGACACTGAGCAGAGCATTGTCATTCAAAGTTTATCAATAGGGGACATTTACAAGGAAGTAACACTGTGTTAGACAGGGTTCTCTAGAGATAGAACCAAATTCCTGATAATATATTTATTTATAAAGATAATTAGATATATAACGAGAAATGAAATGTTAAATCATATACAGATAAATATACAATACAAGAAATAAACAGTTAAATTAGAAGCACTATAAATGGCTTAGTGCAACTCACGTCCGTGAGAGAAAGTTGAGAGACTAGCAGTCCTTCAAGTCTCTATCTGATGCCAGATCTTCCTCTATTTGTAGAGAGCTAGGTTATGTCAGCACAGCAGCCAATCACAAGGCAGGTCACCAATCGCCAGTCCCCAGCTCCAGAGAAGTCTTAAAGGGACCTC